AAAGGCGAGTTATTAGTCTTGCATCTCATTTTAACTTGTCACATGTGTAGTTATCTCGTTTTAACTTGTCACATTTGTAGTTATCTCGTTTTAACTTGTCACATTTGTAGTTATCTCATTTTAACTTGTCACATTTGTAGTTATCTCGTTTTAACTTGTCACATTTGTAGTTATCTCGTTTTAACTTGTCACATTTGTAGTTATCTCGTTTTAACTCGTCACATTTGTAGTTATCTCGTTTTAACTTGTCACATTTGTAGTTATCGCGTTTTAACTTGTCACATTTGTAGTTATCGCGTTTTAATGCATTAGTCACTTTAGCATTTTCATCGTACTTAATTCTTACCCATTGCAGGCCCATTAACATGAATGATATTAATTCTTGTACAAATTTAATTTTTAGCTATTTCGTTAAGTAATATCTTCGAATAACAATAACGATGTGGTTTAAAGTATTGACTTGTACAAAGATAAACTAAAGAAAAATTGTAGCAGATTGGAAATTTAACAACATGAACGTTAAGGTTATCAATAATAATAATATCAGTAATATCAAATAATACTCTGTAATGAGCTAGATGAACCGTTGACAGAAGTGTAACTCTTCAGGTCTTAAAGTATATTTATAATCTCTGAGGGTAGAGGGGCTAGGCCTAATAACAGGTGTCTACATTTATTGTTTCGAAATACATAATTCCACGTTAGGAGTAGACCAAGTGCAAGAATTCATTATTACTTGGAAAAACACTTTTATTTTATTTCTTCCAGAATGACAGATCAGAAACAAAATATTCAAGTTTAAACAAGGTAACTCATTCTTTTCTTAAACAAAAAGATTAACACTTTTTAACAAAATAACAATCCCGTTAAACTGAAATAAAATAACGCGTTTTAATGACTATCAGGTTAAGTATGTAAATAAGAGATATGTATACAAAAAACCATCAAGAATATGCCAACATGGCAACACAATCATTATTTAAACTCAATTTCTATTAAATTAGGGCAAAAATGATCAGGAGAAAGGTTTACATGAGGACTCCTGAAAAATGACAAGGAGAATACGTGAAGTTGTTTCGGAAGAGTAAGCGTCTTCTGCTTTATCAACGACACCTGCCATGTTAACCTTGGTCAATCCAAATAAGAAATGTCAGGTTCTCAAATGAGAACAATGTATACAATGGAACCAACAAGGAACACTAACATGCATCGAATACGTCCAGCTTCATGTCGCACAAACAAATAGAAAATTTTTCAATGGGATCATTATGGCGACCATACAACTTTCACATAATTTTCATCAACTTTCATCGTTTGAAACATTGTTTTACGAGTTTGTCAGTCGACGATTTTGGAACAGGCCCTTGAATATCGAATCAACTGTGACATGCAAATACAAGATATTGCTATCCAAAAATGGAAAATTCACAACAGGGAAATTGAAATCATCACGTTTATCACAAAAACTGATGAAAAGCTGTCCATGTTGGTTTCGTTATAGGAAAATATCGAGATAAGCAGCTGATTTAGAAGAGTTTGTCGTATCTTTGATTTCCAGTTCTTGAGGATATAAACGATGGACGTAGTCAATAGATTTCTTGTTATTTATAGACAAGACGTCATCAATATATCTGAAGGGGAAACTAAACGACTTTGTAAGGTCTTTGTGACATGTTTTAATAAGCTCTTTAATATATTCAGTCTGGTATGAAAACAAAAACAAGTCAGCCAACAGAGAGGCGCTGCTGGTTCCTATGCTAATAATGCTTTAATGAGATACATATAAACAACGATTTACGTTATATCCGTTTAATAGACTTCACACTAGAAATATTAAATATGTTTGGTGGTGGTTTGTTATACCTTCTGTGAAAACAGGTGCTACAGGACCTGCAGGCATTTCTTTCAGTTCAATGAGATCCTTCTTTCTACGGGACCGACTTTTCAACTCGTGACAGGAACATCTTAATTAAAATTCAAGAATTGTGTTAACTTACAAAGACAAATTTGTCACCGTTTGATATATTTTATAAAATTTATCATTAATTTCACGAACCTCAAGCTGTAGTGAATTTGAATGTTGATTTTTCTATTCGAGTAGAATTTATAAGATATTATGTGAAGTACACAATATTGATAAAGTAGACTTTACTTCATGTACTCTATCTAATGTTTATATAAACATGAAAAGCATGTGTTTACCTGCAAGCACACCAAAGGATAAGTGCGATGATCACCACCAAAACCAGAGCCCCCAAAAACCCTAGTCCACCAAGCAGAACCGGACGGTCAACCAGGGCAAATGCACTAGCTAGGTTTTTAAAGATATACATATAAAACGTATCATTAAAAATCTTATGGTTGTTGAAACCTACTGGTCTGTATTAAAACATTTTAAAATAAAATTTCAAAATCGATATGTAGATTTTCAAGTCCAGTGAAAAATGTATGCGTCATTTACAGGGTATGCGTTAACTGTCAGTATTAACATTTGGATTTGAGAATTAGCATGGAGGATTAGGGACCTATAACGATATTTTATACCAGTCATTCGATGTACGTTTTTTTCTATAACGTATCATGAGAGATCGTAGCATGAATAGTTGTGTCACCTACCTGTATCACAGCGGGAGCCCTCCCAGCCACTGTTGCAGACACATACACCTGTCTCTAAGTCACAGAGGGATGTTTGGTCGGACACACAGTCGCAAACGCCTATGCAATCTATTCCGAAAGTATTTCCCCCGCAAACTGTGGCACAAAGCATCTTGATTTCAGATTTTTTTATTCATTTACTTTTGAAAAGCAGGTATCAAGCAAGCTTGCTTATCACAAAGAAACCTGTACAAATAATCCAACTGGGCTTTTTACCAATATATTGAAAAGAAACAAACCAATTTGATTCAAAGCGTCCAGTTCATATTGTGGTGTAAATGCACCCGAATATCTTCGGATATATAAAAATTTCCCGAGGACATATATTGAAAGTAACTACTTGTTATCGGAAGATATCTTATTTTCGAGAATGAAATTTAGATATCAAGCATCCACGAGAACATCACATGTTATCGATCACACATATGGCAGTGTGGGTAAATTACATATTCAAAGCAAGAGTAAGACAGACTGCATTGGAAAAACAGTAGAAGCTTCATCCGTTCGGCACATGTGTTAAGATGATTTTTTCTCTGTTCTAAATTTTAGATTTTTAAGTTAAAGGTATATTTCATGACATTTTCTTGTTATTTCCTACTTATAATAGGTTATACATTACTTACTCGTGTTGCACGTGTCGCCAATATACCCTGGCCTGCAGATGCACGCACCCGTCACGTGATTACATACTGGGTAAGCGTTTGCTGGACAGGAACACGATTGTGAACACTGATCACCGTACGTGAGAGGATTGCATGCTGTAAATACAACATTATTCTTAAACACACTAAAGATATGTGTTTATTTATCTTCAATATTTTCCACACAAAAAGTTTTCTCGTTTTCTTGAAAGACAGAAAGTGATACACCTTTTTAAATTGAGATGTCCAATGATAAACTATGTTGTCCTTTGGTAATGTTTTTCTTACATAATATTATTTTAACGAAAGTTATTTCATGCGACAAAACCGACAATAATTCAACAAGTTTGAAATTATTGATATCATAAACTTTATTTCACAGAAACGATTGAATAGTGAAGACGTAACAGCTCACCATTTGAACAGTCTGGTTGTCTGTAACCGACATTACATTGACAGTATCCGGTCACGTGGTGACAGGAAATAGAATTATTTAAATGGCAAGGACATTGAGATGCACATCCAGTTCCATAATATCCGGTAGGGCACACTGGAACAAAACAAAATTCATTAAATGTTGAGTCTAGTGTAAAATTTATTTGCATTGAGATCAAGGAAACAAAGTCATTATGTCGATGTCTGGAAAAAGTTACAAGTTAAAAAAAAATGAATTTGAAAAAAATGTTTGCTTTCGTTAGTTTAAAGTCCATTTTCATAACGCATAAGTTATATGCCTTTTTTTTACTGGGAAATAAGTTTTGTTTAAAAAATAAATAAATAAAACACTTTATTGTGTCGGTCACTCTGGTTTAATCAAAGATGTGACAGTGTATTGTTTCCTATTGTATGTATTTTATCAATGACAATTGATAAAGAACATCCCATTAATGGAGAATGGGGAATTATTCCTCACGATTGTCTTATTAACTATTAAATTAATTAATTAAATTAAGACCGAGATAGATAACAGAACAAAGAAAATTTACATCCTGATTGTTATATTGTAATCTAATATCAAGACAAAACATTCTAAAATTGCACCAACTTCACATTTCGTCAGGATCATATGACATGAATGTTAAGGGTTCTAGTTTAGTGTTATGCTGTATCAGTAGATATATGCAACATCAACCGTTGATATCATACCTTCAGAACAGTTTGCTCCGGAGTATCCTGGTTTACAAATGCATGTGCCGTTGAAGTTACATGTGTCCGTGTAATTCCTGTCGCATGTGCATGTTGAGGCACATCCGTTACCATACGTCCATAGCGGACACGCTACATAGAAATGTAACACGTGTAATATATATCAATCACAATTTAAGAAAAGTTAAGTAAATCCTAATGAAATTGACTACGGCCCCATGTTTTAAGAAATATCATTATAGCAATAGACACAATTAATTACATGTTGGTAGAATGCACGATAAATAAACAATATATGTCCAAAAATAATCATGATCAAAAGATTACCCGTTTCCTCGATTAAACTCCTGACGGATTATTATTGAAATCCCGTTTAGGTAGTACTAGGAAACGATACTGAAAGGTTAAAGAAACGCAACTTCTTGAATTGTATTGATTGTACATAGCCTTATAAAAAGTAAGAGGAATATTAGGGCACCTTACCTGATCCAAAAATGAATGTTAAAACCCCGTCATCCATGACAAATTACTTACACTATGACAGTGTAAATGCATGCGTTATGTTTCCTTTCGATCTAGTGTCGATTTCTGACTATCACCAAGACGCGGGATCGCCATTACATCTGCAATCAATAATTGTTTTATAAACATGCCAAGGCTATCCCAGACATTCACGTGTAACGTCATGACGTCAATATTCGGACACCCACGTGTAACATCAAGACGTCAATATTCGGACATCCATGTGTAACGTCTCGACGGCGAGATTCGGACATCCACGTATAATGTCACGACGTCGAGATCCGGACATCCACGTGTAACGTCACGACGTCAATAACCGGACATCCACGTGTAATGTCACAATGTCAAGATCCGAACATCCACGTGTAACGTCACGATGTCAATATCCGGACATACTCGTGTAACGTCACGACGTCAATATCCGGACATCCACGTGTAATATTACGACGTCAAGATTCGGACATCCACGTAAAATATCACGACATCAAGATCCGAACATCCACGTATAATGACACTACGTCAAGATTCGGACATCCACGTGTAACATCACGACGTCAAGATTCGGACGTCCACGTGTAACATCACGACGTCAAGATTCGGACATCCCCGTGTAACGTCACGACGTCATGATCCGGACGTCCATGTGTAACGTCACGACGTCAAGATTCGGACATCCACGTGTAACGTCATGATGTCATGATTCGGACATCCACGTGTAACGTCACGACGTCAAGATCGGTTCATCAGGCGTTATTGCATTATTGCTCATAAATATAAATTCATTAAACCGTGAAGTTGAAGTTGCGTTTCTTTTTCCTTTTGATATAGATGGTCATTGTGTCTTACATTCGTTGCAGGTCGTCCCTGTGTAGTCTGCAGCACATATGCAACTTCCGTCCACGTTACTGCACGTGAGAGTGTTGTTTGGAACACATAAACAGCTCTCGTTGCAACCCGTGCCATAGGTATAATTAGAACATGCTGCAAAAATGAAATCATTAATGAATTTGATCATGCTGGAACATTCTGTTTATTAATACTTCACTAACAGGAAGAAATCACGCGTCATGACTTGTTCCGATGGTATACCTACTAAATTACCGCGGTTATGCATCCGTATGCAATTGTTAATTAGCAAGATTTCGTAGAATGAAAAGTAATATTGCTTTCATTGGAATGGTCACAGATACTCCCTCAATGGCGCCATCTACTGCGTATCTAACTAAATATAAGGATGATTCTGGAAGCTTTAAATCCCGAACCTATTCGTACTTTGAGTATCCATGTTTGGATAACGATGTTGTCACTTTTCTTAATTTTACTGAAGTAATCCGAGATATACATGTATCTGTTCTATGGTTACAGAGCTACAGAATTCAGAGTGAGATTACATAGATACATGTATTTGTTTATGATGTATTTACGCTAAAGGTTAGATAATAAGGTAACATTAACATATCGATTGTGTCCAAACGGAGATTTATCATTTACAGATATGGTGTAGATAAACACACTTACCAGTATCACAGTTAGTACCAAGGTACCCAGGCTTACAGGCACATGATCCGTTTACGTTGTCACAGGAAGCTGAATTCGCTTGCACACATGCACAATCACTTCCGCAACCTGCACCGTATTTCCATGCACTACATACTGAATTAATTGGAAACAGTTTTATCAAAATTAATGCAATGATGAACACAAACCATATGGAGAAAAGAACGCAAAATCCAAAATATGTTTTTTACTTATCAGTACACTAAAGATATATTTCACCGCGAAAAAACGATTGAAACATTCAATATCAAAATCAGTTTCACGAATAATGACCCCCGTGAATGTCGTTTGATGCGAAAATCATGACAGTTAGTACAGGTGCAGTGGTCCTATTGTTAGAGCAAGGTCCGATTAAGATCTACATAAATTTACAAAAAATCCTACCACGACAACATTATTTCATTAAATTGCACCTTTGGTTTATGTCTTGAAAAGTTTGTCTCCAATAGCTGTTTATATCACTATACAGTGTATTGATGTTCCTTACCAGACTCACAGTTTGTACCAGAGTAACCCGGATTACATGTACAGGCACCATCGACGCTACTACAGGACGCCGTATTGGCCTGCTGACAAGTGCAATCACTTCCGCAACCAGATCCGTACTTCCAGGCGCTGCACGCTGTATTTGAAAGAAATGACAAAAGGCAATACAATACAAACCAATGATTTGACGTCTTTGCTTGATAAGCACTCAATTTATTTTTATCTTACTGCGTATTTATCTGAATAAAACTTAATAAGAGTAAATTCAGTATGTTCAACAATTAAAGAGCGAAATTATGTAAGCTACTGTACAGCAGATGAAAAAACTTACAATTTCATTATAACAACATAACAATAATCCAAACTGAAATGAAATAAAACTAGGGCAAAGCATGAACAGAAGGAAGATGTGTTACTCTTTCGTATATAATACGTATGTACATAATGTTTGTAATCTTACCAGTTTCACAGTTTGCCCCAGAATATCCCGGATTACAGGTACACACTCCATTTACATTATTACAGGTTGCCGTATTGGCCTGTACACATGTACAGTCATTTCCGCAACCGTCCCCATATTTCCAGGAAGTGCATGCTGCAACGCAAATACGTTATAATTTGAACATGATCATAAGTTTATCTCGTAATATATTTGATATCTGGGAAATGAATAGGAAATTGTCTGTGGAGCAAAAAACGTTAAGAGGAAATATACAGAATAAGTTTGGTAATTGAAAATATTTCACCGCATCAATATTCCTAGAATGAATACCAAAATGTCAACTCAAATTAATTAAAACTGGGTAAACTATGAACAAACGAAAGATTTACACGGAGATACATTTAAAAAATACAGGAAAATAAGAACAAGTGTTCCAGAAGAGTATGCGTCTTGTCAGTAATGTCGCTTTCTCAAATGAAAACAAGGAAAGTAAAAATTGAACCAACAGTCAAAGTAACGAGCATCAAACACGTCCAGCGTCCTATCCCACAAACAAATAGAATATTTCTCAAGAAGATCACTCCGTGTTACGAGTTTTTTTTTAGTGAGTTAACATCTTGGATCCAGGTTGTTTTTCGCGCTTTGCAGTGTTTTGAAAAAATAACAACGACCTCCATCTCTTGAAGCCCTTTATAGTGAGTTTGTAAGTTGCCAACATCTTTCATATTGATATTGAGTACAAGCCCATGACCAACAGACCAACTGTGACATGTAAATAGCAAAATTTTGGGATGCGTGTTTGTTGCTCTCAGGAAGCGGAAAATGTATTATTACGATTATTGTACTTAATATCGCTATCTTTAATTTTGTAACAATGATTAATATAAAACTATTGTTTATCAACACAGGTTGTGTATATACAGACCATTCTCACAGTTAGTTCCAGTAAACCCAGGACTACAGGTGCAGGCACCATTAACGTTGTTACAGGACGCTGTGTTGGCCTGTATACATGTACAGTCGCTTAAACAACCATCTCCAAATTTCCAAGAGCTACAAACTTTAATAATGGAAATCATAACCATAAGTTACAGTATGTTAATTACAAGCATGTGAATACTTGAATTCTTTAATTCATAGAAATGAGTTACCAAAATCACGTATTGAAAGTAGATCAATTATAAGATTTATTTTGTATATTATATTTGTCTAGCTTGCTCCCGAACAATAATCTATATCGTTTTTGTAAGTGTGTGTATAATCTGAAAGATATGTGTATTCTTACCGGAATTACAGTTATTATCGATAAACCCTGGGCTGCACGTGCATTCTCCGTTAACGCTGCTACAGGACACTGTGTTGGCCTGGTTACATGTACAATCATTTCCGCAACCAGATCCGTATTTCCAAGCACTACATGCTGCATATCAAGTGAATAAGATAATATAAATTACTTGAACTTAAACGGAACTACATATGTATAACGAACACTAAGATATTGGGCATAAGATTCATTAGCATTATTATTGTATTAAATCTTCTTCTTTTGAACCATAGGTACGCACTATCATGGTAGTTTTATTATCCTGATATCTATATAGATATGTATGTACTATATACAGACAAGTAGGTTGGAAGATTACCTTGGCTGAATAACATCTGTATCATTTTATATGGTTTCTTAACCTACCAGATTCACAGTTTGTCCCTGAGTAACCAGCGAAACATGTACATGTACCATCCACGACACTACAAGACGCCGTGGAGGCCTGGTTACATGTGCAATCATTGTTGCAACCAGATCCATATCTCCAGGCAGGGCATGCTGATATAAATGGTAAAGTAGTGTTTATATGTATTCTAGATACTAGTTATTTGATAAATTAAGGTTTGCACTGCCTGATAAAACAGCTCATCGATTTTCTTATTGGGAAAAAATAAGGAGGATTTTTGGCTTTTTTGTCTTTTTTCTAATTATAGCATTTTAAAACACTGCCTATTTTTTTCAAATACAAATAAATGGAGCATTTGATGTAAAATAGCTTTATTCATTATATATAACCTCTTTATAAAACGAAAAGTACATAGTAAGCATGTGGAGACATTTTTACCAGAGTTCTCATCTGCCATTTTAGTTTGTCCTGATACGAAGAGAGGGAACATAAAAGGAGGGTTCAAGTTTGATGACGTTTTATTATTGAATTGTACCATCTTTACACTAGGCTAAAGTGATAAGATTTTAAAGTGTTACGCAAATAACAATTTCAGATGAACTATTATGAACCTTATCTATCCATGTGTTCGTAGCTTTCCTGTAAACTTTCAACAATGAAGTGTCACGCCCACAGCATCTTCAGAGTCAGAAATATGCTACCGTATATTATAGGATAACCTACCTGTGTCACACCCAGTCTCAAAATGATGGTAATTTGCAAGTTACAAGTGTTCGCAACATCAATGTACTAGGTTAACATCAGATGTTAAAAAGTTTACTCAGAGCTATGCATGTTATAAATGCTAGCCCTAAATCAGTATTGATGCAATGATGCAATATGGTCTACTTTTAATGCTTCATTCAACTGATTAACTTAAGCTATTCATATCTACCAAATTCTGTCAAAATTTGTTTATTTTGCATCGGTTTTCCATGCGTTGATTTTTCACTTTCATAAAACGAGGATATTTCTGTCTTTATGCTGTCAAAAGTCACAGACCTATTAACCTGTCAATGTTTTTCCTTAAGCATGTACATGTACAACCATGATATATTATATGCTGTTCAACTGCTTTTTGTTCCAGAATGTTTAATGTATCAATGACATATTTGTCACTATAGTATCAAGGACCACATTTGCATCTACTGTTGATATTTCAAGTTATGTTATAATACTTACAAATTTCACAATTAGATCCTTCAAAACCTGAATTACAGGTACAGGCTCCGTTTATATTGTCACATGATGCAGTATTGGCTTGTACGCATGTGCAATCACTTCCACATCCTGATCCGTATTTCCAGGAACCGCAAGCTGAAACAAAAGAGCAAGCGAAATGAAACGACTCGTGTTATCCGTACTTCAAATATCCAACCAATGAAATATGTTGTTATATACTCACACGATATTTTAAAATCAAATATAGAATATCTCTCAGGAATCATCTCCATCTAAGAAATATTCAGAGAACTGACCTTTCCATTTAAATTCTGACGATATTGTATTTATGGTTCCCACTGCTACCTTACACTACAGCCTGTGAGTGTGTGACGTCGTCTCATCGTAAAATTCTGACGTATCATAACTTATATTGCACATGTTCAAAACAAGAAAAATGCATGGGATTATTCTCTGAATGAAGGCGATAATTGTGATAAAATAAGATAGATTTCACATCAAATGAATGGAAGAGAGAAAATGTAACGTAATTATTTTTGTGTTTAAAGCGACAAACACGGGGGTCATCGAGAAAAAACATCGTGAAAAATAACTTTAAATTATCACGAAATATCAAGACAGAAAAATTGAAATAAACTTACTGTTTTCACAAAAGTCACCAGTGAAACCGTCGTTGCAGGCACAAGGGGGGAAGGAGTTTCTGTTGCACGATGCGGTGTTTTGCGAGGTACAAAAGCTGCAGAGGTCTGGGCCAACCGTAGCGATATCACAATTAACTATGCACACTGCGATAAAAAAACAAGAACAAATAACTTAGAAAAATCCGTTTGATTGTTAAACCAAAATCTCTTCACTCTTAAAATGTCTTTCATTCGATTCGATTTTGCCAATAAAACATGTAAGCAAAGTATATATTTCTTAATATGTACAAATCACTATGAAAAAAAGTAGTTTTAATTTCATATATATGTTTACAATCTTAAGGTGCATAAAATGACGATTGTTTAAAAATACAAACTTTATTAAACAAAAATGCATACTGTATCAAATATATGCAATTTCTCTAAAAAGCTGATGAGAATTATTGTCCTTTATGCATTCAATATCTACGAATATTCTTTCATGAGTTTCCGGTGATGTTATATGAGTATTTAGAGGAACATAATAGAATGAATGAATACATATGTAGATAAAATGTATATGAAAATTAGTTTGTTCCATCTCACAAACCAGACACCATACATACCTATACCACCAGGATCAATACCTCCAAGTATTGGCGCTGGAGCTGTAAATTAGCAATATCCCATTACATAACTGAATTACTAAAGATGAAACAAACATCACAGTGAAACAAAATAAAAACAATGCAGAAAAACGAACTTAATAACACCTTATGTGTAAGACACACAGACATTTGTTTGACAATCCGTAAGCAATAAATAATGGCTTTTATAATGATGTTCAAAGTATGTAATTAGTTAAGTGTGATATAACAAGTAAACAATAGGTAAATTAATTGATTATGTTTCTCTCGATCATAAAACTATTAGCCGGCGAAATATATGTCAATTTTGACATCTTAAAATGTTACCTATTCCAGCGAGGTCACTATCAGGGACAGCTCCTAAAATAATCATAAACAGGTGAGTTATTCATAAATAGATTAAAACAAACAGTTTCCTTTAAAGAGAACTGTTGGTATTTGAAAAAGCTTAAGTTCATCATTGACTGTTTGTAATATACATAAATGATATCAACACATTGTTTCGTGTGATTGTTGCATAAAACATTGTCAGTAACATAGCTTGTTTTGTTGAGATAAATTCTAGCAGCTAAATTGTAAAAACATTCATAATGGTTCGTTATATCCGATTAAAAACTATTTACTTAGATTACAAATATAATATGTAAATTTACGTTTTCCAACACGTGTTTTACGTCTGTCAGAACAGGTATTTCCTCTCCAGCGTGATTTGCATCGACAATACCCAGTCACATGATCACAGAAGACGGCGTTTTCACGAATGCAGTTACATTTTTGTTTGCACAATGATCCATAGGTCCATTCGGGGCAAACTGCATATCAAGAAAATGAAATGGCTAGCTTGGATGCTGTTAATATATAACAATATATATGAATGTGAATTAACGACAAATTTTGCGGAAAAAGTAGTTTCGCCCCTGCACCAGGATGACCATTTTTACCCATTGTTAAAACGTCACGAAATAGCAAAAGGTGAATAAATACGGTCACCGTATGGTGAGTTTTAATACGTTTTGAAAAAAAATTAATACATAGACATAATGACCCACATGAAAAATACCGCGTGGCATTATTCGTATAAAAATAGGTGTGTGTTGAACCAAAATGTGAAACATATTAGGTTTCACTAAAGGTTGAAAGGAATATTTATTTATTCTACGGCGAATGCTTTCCTGTAACCATTTTACTAACTATACGAACAAAAATATGTGTAGTTGCTTATGGCAATAGATTTGAGTTTCAAAGTGACTTTCATGTTTTGATTTTGTCACGAAGTTTCCGTTATCATATTTGTCTGCAATTTCATGAGAAATATTCTGTTAATTTTAGATCACTGTTAATGCAAGTTAGGACTATGACGATGTAGATAAACAGTAGATAAAAGGATACATCTTAAGATGATTTCTTTGTCTGATGCTTTTCCCGCTGTATAAAATGCTCATTTGACAAAAATTAAATAAGCAAATAAATAAATAAAGAAAAACTAAAATAAAAAATATCTTTCAATTGAAACAGATAAGCATCGACCTTCAACCAGAGACAAACTTAATCGTCGGTTTTGAATGATGTTGATCTCTAGAAGGATTTCAATAACTGTATTTATTCCTCCAATATAACCAAACATATAAAAAGTTACTGACGCCCATACTTGCCTTTACATTGCCTTTCCTCTCCTTCCCACCAATATCCGGTTGGGCACTTGGTTACTCCAGCGAGTATGGTTTCGATATCATAACTAAGATATATAATATCAACATTGATTTACGTTGTCATACAGACGGCATTCACCGTAACATTGAATTCAAATACTACAATTAAAATATGTATACAAATTGTACATCCTTATCTTTCAGGCAAAGGTTACAAATAAACCACTTTATAATTAAATCGGTCGCATTGCATTAACTATACACTAGAGAATATCGTGAGAACTTCAGAAAGAAGAATTAAAAGTTAAGAGTTGAATAATGTAAGTCATTTAATATCAGGTATGAAAATGGAGTACCCAATAGGACATTTTCATTCACTGCAATATGAATAAAAAAAACCTACTTTTACAACAGTAAACAAGTACACGATATACCCCGAAACAAAACCTTTATCTAGCACGGTATTCATAACCTAATCACAGATAAAAGACATGTAAGAAAGATATACATGCAGATTGCAAAATTATTACTACAACTCCAATGATATAAGTACCTTCCGTGATGTGTATTTGTTCTGAGGCAATCCACTCCCGGTTCCAGTAGAATCAAAACTCCGAGCAGAGCAATCATGATTTGATTTTCGTAACTCATATCCAATGAATGAAAAAATACTTGAAACAGTAAACATGCATAGGAAATGTTATCTGTGTATAATTTCCGTTCTAGATGAGTGTACGTAATTTCCTTGTATCTACAACAAGCTACCGTTTTCCTATAGTAGCTAACACATAGGCAAGCTTTACATATCAAAAAACCCGAACAGGATTTCTCGTCGTAAAAACAACATGGCAACATAATCATGATCAAAACACAAATTCCATAAAACTAGGGCAAAACAGGAACATTGGACTACTGAAAAGGAAAAGGAGAATAAGATCAGATGTTCTGAAAGAGTAAGCGTCCTCAGATTCATCGACGACATCTGCCATGTAAATCTTGGTTAATGATTTTCACATTTTAAAATGAGAACAGAGTATCAAAAAACGGAACCAACAGGCAAACGAGCATCAAACACGTCTTTTTTCATATTTTACAAAGAGATAGACTATTTCTCAATGATATCAGTATAGCAACCATAAAAAAATATGAATAGTGAAGAGTACTATTGTATTTTTTAAGTGTGGTTGCGAAAAAATAACTTATTTCAAGTGAGAATACATGCATGCAATGTATGAAGTAATTAATAGTGTTTAGAGAAGAAGAATTAATTCCGATACAGTTTTAAAATGATCACAGTGGTACTGAATCAAGCGAGTCAATTATTTTGTGTACGTCAACAAAACAGTCCATGAAATATAAAGAGACATATAGAAAGAGATCCGAATTTTAAATATCAACAATCACTGCATCATCTACTTAAAACCTCGGTTACTGCAATGATTGGTTTTAAATCTTATTTTTTCAGTCATCAGCTGTTTGAATAAAAAAAATTGAATTTATTGAATGATTGTACATTCAAATCTAAACGTTGACATTTCTTTCTGCCATATTTTTTTTATTTTTGATTAGTCGGCTCCTAGATTTTAACATTTCATGTTCTTCACATCGCTGATTGATCGTAGAAGGAGGAAACAGCCGTATGATGTAGTTCGTACACTATGTATATATATTGAAGCTTTATATTTGTATTATCATCTTGTGTGCCTTGTATATTTCTCTAATAAGGTGATGATGATGTATTGCGGGGGCTTTGACTTGAACCTTAACTTTAATTTCTCAAACCAAGTCGACCAGCAGCGCAGTTTAAAAATATCCCATTGAAGTATGATTCAACTGTAAGCAATTTCATGAAGCCTGAATAACTCTAAGTGTCAATGAATTGTAAGACAATAATATTAATTCCATGTCTACAAACAAGCGGATAACTACTCACGTCTGAATTCTATTCCGGAAATAGCTGACCAGCTTCCGTTTCCGTACTGTATTGACTGTATACGAGGAGAAATCGAGATCTGTTTTATTGAGAATAGCTATGTTAAAGACTATTACATAATGGGGACAGAATGTTCATTGTTCATTTCATTAGGTGTTGCGTGCCTGATGATGTCATTCTGTATAGAATGCTCACAACAATCCCGTACAGATAAGTATGTCTTTTTATGTTTTTATCTGATTTGGACTGTTTCCTGATTTTCTTAATTTAGAAACTAGTAAGAATTTTTTAAGAAATAATTGTACTAATGATATAAGAGATTGCTAACAAAAATGTTACTAAAGATTTAGTTATTTTGTCATTTATGTTTCATTTATGAGGCATTACCTTCGACAAGCGTTTAATATTGCTCATAGAATATACGCTTATGTAAATGTATAAAATTAAAGCGTTAGATAGGGCTAAAAGTTATCAGATATGTAAAATAAAGTCTGGTAAGTTTAAAAGAAATATTAGAACCCTGAGATTACAAGATATAAGTAACTGCCGGGTTGTTTTTGTTTTTGTTTTTATGACTAGCACTCAAATTAGTTTAAGTTGTCGCTCTTTGTAAAATACTTTTTCATGTTTCATCATTATCATTTCAGCACTAATACACAGCATGTTATGGAGAGCATTACTGCCGATAGATTTGGGTGCAGTTTAGGATACAGATGGCTAAGTAGTGAAAAGCGATGTGAAGGTGAGTCTTCGTCTTTACAATGAAAAAATTGATATGTCTATATTTGTTGAGGTTTTTGTAAAACGTAATTATGTTTAATGGATGCGAAATATTAGGACAAGTGTGAAATATTTAGATATAGATTTACTTTGCTAGGGTATTTACAGAAACAAATTAAAAAAATAAAATCTGTTAACAAAGTTTGGCATTGTGGAAGAGTCAAAACTTTTTGAGTGAAGTATTTACGAATGTTGTTAGTAATACTCTGGGCATAAACAACAGTTATGCTTTCCCTTGATTAACAGTGTGTTCGGACTGGACTTACGGGAAATCTTGTCACGAAACATGTAGTTGTGTTCGAAACAACACGCGAGTCTGTGGACACATAACAGGAACTTGCCTTTGTCATCCCCAGTGGACCGGGATCACATGCAGTGTTCCTATGGAACTAAAGAGGGAAAAAAGTAGGTGTACTCGAGTCCATATTGGTAGTTTTATCCTAGATGATATACTATCAGTGGAAAAAACTAAAACTTTGGCTTACGTATATGTAACAATGTATTAATTAACGACAGATTAGTGCCCGTCACTTTAATGTGGTCAGTTACAACAGCATGGCCTCCAATTACATACCAGAAGTTTTTCCTCTAAAACTCAGTATAATAAATATCTTGATATGTTGATATTCATAAGATTTTTACCGATAAAAGAAAGTTTATTTTACACCTTTTAACAACTCATTCCCTTTTGAAAATTACTGTCAAGCTGACCAAGAGCCATTTTATCATTAACGCCATTTTTCTATGATCAATATCATGTTTTAAGCCAATAGAAATATCTCAACCTGTCATTCCGAAAATCAGATACAAAAATCTGTTTTAACATACCTTAGTTTGCTTCAGTAGGATTTATATACAATACAAAATACCTTGTAATTTACTTAAGTATAGGAATATCAGTATTGTCTAACTTCAGGGCAAGACGTCGAGAACAACCTTGTACCGGGAAATGTTTCTGGTAAGTTGGTTATTTCAATTTAAGATTTAAGAACTCCAGTTCAAGTTTAAGAACTTCCGAGAACGCACATCTGGTCATCAAATAAACAGGCATGTAATTTATGACAAGGGCAACGTTTTGTCAATTCTCTGTAATAAACCAGTTTGTATAACGGTCTTAATATAGACTAAGTTAAGAAAATATTCTCCTCTTGAGCCAACAATTTTATCCACCTTTTTATTTTCAAAAATCAATTTCATTTGTCGCATTTTCACTTTTACATAGATGTGTGGTCGTGATAAATTTCACTTTATCAATTTCGTGCAACATTCGGTTTTTATCAGCTTGCCCGGCCTGGTATTTTGGATTGAATTGTACAGAAATGTGTTCATGTAACCAGACAACAACCGTGAACTGCAATTCCACAAATGGAGTTTGTAACTGTGGTCCAGGATACACTGGTAGTCAATGTAACCAAGGTAAGTAACAACCCAGAGATAAACGGTTAGTTGATCTTATCAGAATGATTGCCGACTGCTATACGCTAGTGAAATTGATATCTAGAAAATTAATGTTTTCAGTGTAAACTAGTATAACTAGTATGTTTCATTAAATTTCTTAATTTCTTTGTATCTGATGATATCCA